GATACTCTGATTGCCACACAAACAGCATCGGAATTTTCAATGGGAAACTGAGCATATTCGGTTAGCTCAGTTGTCAATGCTTCATGGAGCTGAAAATACGGTATTGGTACAATAATGACAATCCTTCTTTTCGGAACAAAATACAAGTCTAACTAATCGCCTTGACCTTTGGTCACAGTTGGCAAGGTTCAGGAAGATGAGGTCAATATACTGAGTTTCCTTTGCTTTCAATTTTTCGCAATATCCATTTTTAGTCTCTTTTGATCTATAGACCCGCTGTTGTCTCACAAAAGCAGAGTTTGTTACTCTGGTTGTTTTCTGTAGATGTGAAGCTAATATGACTTATATCAAGTTCACGAGACAAAAAGCACCCCGTCGAAAACGGTGGTACTTTTTAGATATGACAAATACTCGAACGCATTAAGTATCGTGCATAAAATTTTCCTTTTTTTCATTCAGATGGATCAGTGTATTGAACAATGCCATGCAGGAAGAATTTCAAAGGGCAATGAACGGAGATGTGTCCACCGTGACACCAGACTTTCAGCAAGTTTCCGGGGGAGATACGAACTGTCGAACCAATCACGTTTCCGGTAGCAATAATAACAATGCCGCTACAGTCGCTGTCCCCGACTTTGATACTGGTCAGACACGCTTTACGTTCCACTCAATGGCTCCTCGAGCAGAAAGCGCCGGTGGTGAAAGTCTCGGTGATAGTCTGCCCGGCAGCGAACATGATTTACTCGATTCCAGGTACGTTGTTATCTATACATAGTGTTACTTTCTCCTCGAAACTCTGTCCATTGGATTTTCATACGGATTCATTTGTGTTTGGCCCTTTCTTATTTAGCTGTGGTTCAGCTGATCAGTCACGTTTAAAATTTGCTGTTGAAGATAGACACATGTTGCTCGCTTCTAACTTTGACGAATCTGTCATTCCGTGTGGAACGCGTCACTGTCAGTTGGATCGCGTACCTGAAAGTACCATTTGGCATGAGTTTTCTTCCTGCATCCTTTTTCGTATCGATCACCCTTGCTTATTACTGTTTCTGTGTGATAGACCCAACTGTAGTCTGATACGTCTTCCCTTTCCCATTTATCGACGAACACTTATGGCTTTCAGACACACTACCTCTGAGTTCTGGATGCCTGTTACGCTAACGGTTCCAATTTAGGGCGACATGTTCATGAGTATTTTTGGTGAACCTTCGCTTCAACACGATTTTCTTTCTCAATCCAATGAGCTATACCGATCACACTTTTAAAATGAATTTCATAAGGGGTGTGGGGTGGGTGTGGGAAGAAAGGAATCGCGTAGCGATGGTGCAGCTGGAGTAGCAATTACGCATTTCAACTGGATTGTATTAGTCGTTGATCTACGTTTAATTTCAGTACCGTCTGTTTATGGTTCAACAATTCTCACGAGCAACATCGAAATAATCTCCAACTTCGAGCGTCATTCGTAGTAAACATTCAACGGCAGTTTACTCGTTTTCATATCTAGCACTTAGTGATGTGATTGTCACAAATGGATTAAGTTCTTCGAACATTTGGTATTTTTCTCGTTTACCTTGTACTACTAGTACCCATTTACTATAGACTACGACCGGATGGGAATCTTGATCAATTTCCCTCTTTGTTTGTATCTTTTTGTATTTGTTTTTCTTTTTGGACTATGTTGACTATTATCGATTATTTGGATGTCAAATTGACGCTATAGTCAGGTGAATATTTTTTATCAAGATTTATGTAAAAGGGTTTTATGGAAAACGTGGTGTTTTAGACGTTAGAAGTAATCAAGACTGGATTTCATTACTTACCACTTATGAGAAATAGGCAAGAACTGGTTGGTTGATAGTTGTTATTTTAGTCATATATGAAGATGTGTTGTGTTTTGCAACACTGTATATCTAGATTTTCGTGTGAGGTTGAATTAATGATGGAATTTGCTCTCCTTAAATGTGGCCATTCGAAATGTAATATTATTTGAGAATTGTAGATAGTGTTTGGCTTTAAACTTTCGACCCAGATCCTACTTATTCTCATATATGATTACCGACGAGAAAATGGTAAAGTGCGGAAATGGTGCAGATTCCAATGAGATCGACGAAATGTGTTCAAGGATAGAAAAAATTACCGGTGATCGGCTTTGACGTCCTGCACCGTACTTACTCCTAAGTTTATGGGTTATGCTGTTTTAAATTCACTGTTAATGACCTGCATTATTCCTTGGTTTTCTCAGGTCGACGCTTTCGCTCTATAACGTCACCAAATTATCAACTCGGGGATGTATGTCCGAATCCCACCGCTATCGCCTGACTTTCCCCATTGTGTGTTGAAAAGCAGCCCTTTGAATGGTCGCTTCCTGAAAATCATATCTTTGTATTTTCAATCAAAGGAAGTAGAATTAAAAAGAAGAAAAATAATCTACGTATTATAGTCTCTGAAATACTAATGTTACTTCATCGTTCATTATCAACCTATTTATGGCTGCAACTAATGCCGTATACCTGTCGGATTCATTGAGGTCGTTTGTTCTACTTCAGTCGCTTCTATTTTCAGCTCACCTGCAATATTTATTGCCTTGCAAGGAACCGTTTTGGTTCCATTCACTATTTCTTTGTCATACGTCATTGGGACTTAGTTTCTGGCTGGGTTATCCATCAGTTAGCACCTTTTTGAGATCATAATTTAAGGAATTTTTGGCATATCTGCATGACGTACCTGTGTAGAATTATAATTTCACCCCTAGCTTTGTGCAACTCTGTCAACTGGTAATGTTGTTTATACTCCAGTCGTCCTTAACGATGCCTGGCATAGCAATGGTCGCCGGGTCCGATTAACTAATGACCAATTTACTGTGCTTGGGGCCCATTTACTAGTGAGTAGTGGTGGTTATACATAAACCTTCCATGCAATGGTTCGGGATCACAAAGCCCGGATACGACAATGAATTTTAATGAATTTTAGTAAGAGCGAAACTCGAGTCTAGTGCTTCCGAGTGGTTTACTGTAAAAACAGAACGGTGCGTGAAGGTGAATTTTGAAGGAGGATCAGTTCAAATCAGTACCAGTTTTCTTTTTCCTACTTCTCGTGTTGTGAGATACTACTCACTTGTGAGTAGTCGGTAACTTTCGGTGATTAAAAATAGAACAAGACCATCAAGGACCAAGTAATATATTTGGGAAGAATAAACATTGCCTGCTCTACCCATTACCCTGTGTGTCGCGATGTGCTGCGAAGGCATGTTTCTGATGAGCTTTTCGTGTTATGCATGCAAAATTAGTCACCTTCAATTTGTATTCTGCGATAAAGAACTCTCCTCGACCAGCACAGCCTTTTCGGAATATAACACCCGTAGCTCAACCGGGCAGTGTGTACGTAACAACCATAAGTGCTCGAGAAGTCGTGCTAGTAATTTTTCTCTGTCCCTGTCTCTCTCAGTTTCTTGCACCATCCGCATACACATCACCTTGTTGTATATGTGCATTGCCTACCAACATCTTTTATGTACCTCAGAGACCTGTACGATTCACAGGGTATAGAAAGTCGTGACCATTGGTTTCGAGAACAAGGGAGACTGATTGACCTTTGTGCCTGCCTTTTTTGTCTCCTTTATAATACTAAAATTTGTGGTAGAATCACAGTATTCAGCCTTTTCGGGAGATCTTGTCAACCATAATGAGTTGGTTTTGCCGTTTCAGAGAGATTATCACCAACATTACATTTGTTGTCACCTTAATTTGGAATGGATCTTATTCTACCCTATGTATCCGTTGTGGCTATGAAATTGTTCTCCTCATTGTCTAAGCTTCCTTCCTGGACTCATGCACTTAGGACGATAGAAGGAATCCTTCGTATAGTGAAAGCGCTCACTTCATATCGCCTCCCTTTTTCATTCGTTCAATGAGTTATATCAGGCCATGATAGAGGTCTGTGAATTGTGTGCTCACTTTCGTTCTCAAATAATTTTCTCACCCCGTTTCATGCCCACATCATCCGTATACTTCACGTCAGTAAACACAAACGATGAACAACTAAATTTCATCACCCACCGTTAACGTTCATTGTCCCGCCTAAATGATGTATGCGATTCTTAGTAGTGACAAATACTCACGTGCCTTGTTATGTTTGATCGCATGAAACTGAATGGAAATAGCTTGAAGTACGCATCACATAAGGAAATTCAGAACAGTTTGGGCCTAGTTTAGTTCCTCTTGCACTTTTGCCTACATTGTATTGGACCTATATGTGCTAAATTCATCTCGTTCTCGGCTTTCGTGTTTGGTACTCCTACAATGAACTTAAGTTTTTCTTGTTGGTCCAGTTGATCATTACGTTTCGTGCGTGTCACGATAACATACTTGGGTTGTGCACTGCATTTTTGTCCGTCGGTAAAGTTTCGTTCCCAGATGCGTAAATTTATCTGATTCATCTCCCTTCCCATTAACTCGTCTGTTTGGTTACCAGCTCACCCACTTCTCGATCCCGTGGAAGCCGTTCGAGTCGACTTGGAAGTGCCGATGCCCTGTCTACAGATATTGCACAACCTTCAGCATTTCCCACAGAACTAAAGGGTCGCGCATTGCGAGCTAGTATCCAATCCGGTTTGCGTTGGCGTTGCCCTGGAAATGCGGTGTGCGCAGATTGTGATAGACCAGGTACGCCTGTCCAAATAAGTTTGAATTTAGTAGAATGTAGCCTCCGAAATTACAGTTGGTGGATTTTCTGAACACATGAGTTGTGACAGAATTCGCGTTCATCCTCAGACTGTCGAAAGTTTATTCTTATTAGCTCACCTGTGATATATATGGATATTCACACGCGTTCAAGTTCAAACTGTGTACTCAACAAATCACGATTCAATAATCTTTATAAAAACAACAAAAAGGTCCATAATTATTAATCTAGTCATCTCTTATAACCATAAGAGGCTAAAATCATTTGCTTCTTTGTGGAAATTGCACTGCAAATTGTTTTTCAATCTGTATAGTTTTCAATGTTCTTCAATTTGCGTTACCCATCTTAGTGAAATCATATAAAGCTAACGATGGAAGTAGATTTTTTGCACCACACACTTTCAAATTATTTCGCTTTTACTCAGGTATTATAATAATGGTAATATCACTTACACCTATGAACCACTATAGATCAATTCACGCTGAATATATGATCTAATCAAGGCCTCCACTCCTCTTATATAATATGTGGTTAGATTCGGAATTTTTCCAGCCGGGTCGAGACTCCGGAGGCTGGTGCTGAGGCGAGCGGGGTGTGATGCACACAAAGATGGATTGCACTAAATCGAGTAGAGACCGAATGAAACTGATATCATTGGCTCTCCGGTGTTCAATTTTGTTTGCGTTCTTCCTATGAGCTCCCGGGTCCCCTTCTCAAACAGTTTGATGGATTTACACTGTTAATGAGACCTAAACAGGTTGTAACAGTGGTACAATAGTGGTTCTTAAATTTTCAGTTCATGCTTCGACAAAATTTTTCTACCCTAACCTGATTGTTCTATCCTGAACCGATCGGGTTTGTGTATTTTTGTCACAGTGGCCGTTTTTCACTTTGGCAAATTAAGACGCTTCTTCGTAGGTGTCCTGAAAACTCAGACTTGACGCGTTCACCCAGACCAAATGTGCTTGTTGTCGTCCGTGAAGTTCATCTTGCTGCAACCGATGACCTTTTCACGAGCAGCGAAAGGTCAGAACTAAGCGGTCAACTTTCCTCGCCGGATGCGATTCATGAAGGTGTATGTGAGTGAACCTGTGAGTAGTGGTCACGCTTTTCCATTTGAAACGGTTTTGTCGGGTAAAAGTGCAAGTGAATCATAGCGAAAATTTCTACTCAGCAGTGTCTCGGACTTGGCGAATTACCCGGTATATTTCCTGATACGCAGTATTAACGTTCGCAGCCCTGATTATGCATACCATTCTCACATCTCCATTCTACCCCCGTTACATAGATCCGGAATGGGTCAGTGTCAATTTGGGTGTGTTAATTTGTCTCGAATGCTGTGGCGCGCATCGCGAATTAGGTGTCCATTGCTCCCGAACACAGTCTCTCCTAATGGATGATTTGTCTACCAATCAGCTACTTGTAAGTTCTGTGTTTGTGTCATGTTTTCGTCGAAGTCACTGTTGTCTTATCCACGTAGTTGATTGCTATCCTTCATAGCACAGTCTGTTTCTTTTTTCTGCGAGATTTATATGTCCGTGACAATCCGGTACTCCTAACCATCAATGAATTTTAATTAACCATACGGAAATAAGCTATGATCATTAGAGTTTCATGGACAATTAATGATCATATTAGTTTATTTTTGGTTACCTCTTGAACCTGCACCGAAATCTTTATGCTTCCCAAATGTACACCCCCTTCCAACTCGTTTGTATTTTGGTAAGTTATCCTAACGGGTGCCTATTCACAGACCAAAGATAGTGTGTTACCCGAACGCTTGTTACAGATCTCTAATTTGTGTTTCGTGTATGATGTCTGGCCGATACTGCTTAAAATCAGCATTTGAAATGCCGATACTCATCAAAATTGGATACCGACTTGAAAAACATGTACTTTTGTCAAGATTCATACACTGTTTTCATCGGACACCAATTGACAACCGGGAATAAGTCAGTAAAGCAATTTTAGGGTATGTTGTTTCTCTTTGAATAGGTCAATACCGCAATGGTAGAGTGCGGTTCACTATGGGGACTGGGTATCGGTCGTTGAATTTCATCGCTCGATAATGATGCTAACGTGAAACAAACCAATTTTGTTGAATTTCATTGGTTTTTGTTGTACTCACCCTTCTGGAAGTTCTAATTTTCTTAAACTTTCACTCATGTGTTTGATTAGCTTAAGCTGCATGGGACCAGCTTTCAGTACGCTCTCCCGATGATTTGTACCAGTCATGAGACTGTGTTACTTTCTGCCATTTCTTCGTAAGAAATAACATCACAAACTGCACGAATACTGGCGATTCAGAATGAGCGACGTGTACCAATTCGTGGAGATCTTAAATTAGATAATGTAAATGTGAATGACTGTGAGGTTTGCTTTTTTTGGTGTAAATCATTTCCTGTGCTGGAGGAAAATGTACAGAGTGGAAGTTCATTCAGATTTTTTATATCACAATGTTTTCAACACGTCAAGCAGTCGGCTTATATGCTCAACGAGCTATATACAGTATCGCATTTAGTAAACTGCCTTGTGTATGGCTCGAGAATCATGAATGTACCTCCAAAAATGGTCATGTTTTCTTGAAGGCGTTCTGATAAATCAGACGAGAACTCCAGAATTATGCCACAAAGCCATGCAGGACGCAGGCTAAACGGTGTCCCTAGTTGGGAACGGCAGTAGCACGCTAACACTCACGCTCTAGCCCGTGTCTCTCCCCAAGTTCATCGGTCTTGAATAACAAAACTGTTCCTCCCAAGATGCTGTTAGTCGATCGCATAACGGTCGTCAAAAATACCCGCTCGAGTCGAATGGATTTTTAAGCCGATATTCGGTAAGCCGTTTCTGAACCTATGCACAAGACTCCCTCAGGAGATTTCCCCAGATGCAGCTTGTTGGCGAACCTAACGGTGGGATATTGTTACCATTAATTAGTACTTGGTTGACAGGCCATGTTGCTGAGTCTGCACTGTACCGACTTTGAACATCTTTGCTCAGATGGAATCCTTCTTAACTAGATGCTGCAGCACATTCTCAAATATACTATGGCGCTCACGGAATATGTCTAAATATGAAATGTGTGTTGCTCATCAACCTCTACATCCAAACTCAGCTAATGGGACTCAGTTGTCGATTACGAGATGCACTCTCAATAAAGGTCGTTCATGCTCTGATAATATGGGACTTTATCCCACCCAGTTTTCTAAAATACCCAAACCATGACTAGTTATTTGGGAGGCACGTGAGTGGTCCTATCAAATTCTCAATCAATATTGGATTTAGTGTTGACAAACAAGGAATGTGTCGAAATTCCATCGCCATTAGGGCACGGCAAGTATGTTGTGTTGCCTGATGATTACATGTAGCTTGTATTAGAAGTTACGGTTAAACTCTTATTGAGTAAAGCGTTTTGCAGGAGATAGCTTTGCCCAAGTGCCCATTGGCATCCCGAGAGTGAGAGTTTAATCCATTGGTGTCCTGGCAAGAGTTGATCGGTACTCTAACCGAACTCATAAGGATGGCAACCAATCATTAACCAGATTGCGCCATTATCACCCATCAGTAACCCAACAAGCGAATGGATAATGTAGCGTAATTTATCTTAGCCTGAGTTTGTATGATGCCTGACTGTCAATAATGGCGAAAAACTACATCATTTTGAGAAACTTGTGTCAAACTTGTGCTGGAGAATGAATTTAGGTATCATGAAACTCTGTCTTATAATTTAATTTTGATCGTAAGCTCCCGTATAGACATAAGAACATTAGGAAATGAACATATAGGATACTGTCACTGAGGCACACCGGATGTGTTCCAGTACTGCATCAACCTAATCGCCCTGTAGTGTTTTACTGATATTTCAAACTGATTTGTCAATTGGATATTCTTTAAAGTGGTGCTTCAGAAGAGTCGGGTAGATTGCTTGGGTCCCTCGTCGGGTGCCAGAGTATGGACTGCCCGAAACTCTTCTGTCCCGGGAATTTTATGTTTTAACCATCAATTCGTTCAAATTGCATTGAAACACTTAACTCTTCAAAACCATCAGTGAACCTGCGCACTGATCACCTTTTTGATAGTACCGCTCAAATCCAGTGTGTAAAAGTCAATGATTTTCAGCTTTGTAATTTGCCTGCGCTTACATTTTGAGTTTTATACGTTTAAAATGACGGAGGAAAGCATTCCGCTTCTTGCTGCCTATTGAATGTGTTACCAGTTCATCCATGCACTGAATGAACATGGATACAATGACCTGGAATACCTTGTAGTACCACTAAACTCTTGCCCTGGCATTTGTTTTCTAGTTGCCGCGATTTCTTGGTAACCGATTGTTCAATGAAGTTTTTGAGTCGTCCTTAGCGTCTGGAATCAAGCCAAAGCCAAATGATGCAAGCAGGTGCGTGACTGCTTACTTCCATATACGATCGTTTTTATAAATTCCACCACAAAAGACGGCAGTAAGCTGTTCTCAAATTTTATTTTCATTATTCTCGACCATCTGACTGTTCAGCTTAGCGTCAAGCGGAATATTTTTTACCTTCTCGTCTTTGCCATTAGCAAACTTGATCGCTCCATGTTCATTCGTGTTACCTTGGGATCGAGCCGCATTTGTTGTTTTCTGTCTTCTGTTATCTTTGTTGCAATAACATTGTCACCTTGAATCGTTATATTCAACACAGTCTGAGGTAGCCTAGTATAAAATGACCGGCATTCACGTTTCCGTTCTTGGCGAGTTTTGTTGATTGGTTCACTGTACTTGGTGCGGAACATTGAATCGTTTATGGAGCACTATCACGCACAAGTCAGTTCCACCTCTATTTGCCAGTCAATTGATCGGTTCTTTGAACACACTTGATTTAGCACAGACTATGGTGGATCTGACGTGAGTGATATATTTTCACACCAGTTGTTAAATCGCTCTCAAGGTCGAAATATTTATCTGCTCCATTCCTCATCAAGGTGCATGAAATGCAGATACGCTCATTCTACCACGGGTTTAGCAGCATGTGTAGAGTTCCCTATATTGTGGTTACTTGTGGTGTGAAAAGTCTGCCCTTCTAAAGCAGTGTAATGAATCGTATAGTTTTCACGATTCACCATTGAACCAGATTATCTAGCCACATCGCTATCGTTCATATACCGGATCAGCCGCCGCAGCTATTCACTTTCGTCCTTATCGGCTGGTGATGGTGTGTATTTGTCACTGCTTCATTCCGTTGAAGAAGTTCAATTTCCGAACTTCGGTCCCTTTGGGTGCTCTTGCTACGCAGATGTCTGTTTATGTCTCGTACGAATGAATTCGAACTGACTAGAAGATAGTTGTTCGCCTTCTTGTCTGATACTCAAGCCTGTTTAAAAAAGACAGTCGGTCTGACTTATTCCACTGACGATATCCGTTCCGGAAATACATTCATATAGGGATTCGATAGGCTGCAGAGATTAGGGTTATTGTTATTTTGGGTCCTCCCGGAACCGAATTTGCACAGATATATTTTCACGGATATTCGTTGGAATGGAGCACGACGCTTGGGATGGTGATGCATATAAATTTTATTGATTTCAATGTTTCGCTTCTGCCGGGACACGGATATGCGTGCAAGTCATCTCACCATCAAGTACAGTAGTAGCGTAAATAATCTTAGTGGTCTCTTCCCTTTAAAGATTACATTTTCAATACTGGGTTCCTGGTAAGCATTTTATCTTTACTAATCAGAGTTTAAAGAATAGATGTCATTGATAAAGATCTCCTAAGCTAAATCCACACATCTGCGTTTTGTAAACTCATACCTTCATGGAAGTCAATTCCGTATACATTGTGCATCGAGGTTTCATCTGTTATCAAGCTGTTTTACGACTATAGATTTATATAAATTGTATATTGCTTCCACTGGACCACCAGAGCTGCTCAGTGTGAAGCTCAACTTGAGAAAGCATCTAGCACCTACAAATAGGTAAGCCATGATCACGTTTGGGATTATAGGAACCCCTAAGATGTGACAATAACCGAGTTGTTGCGAAGCTTCACCCATAGGTGCGATACCTAAGGGATATTTGGGATCGATAATTACCCCTGCTGCAGTTTGTAATTAGTAATCGGTTTGTCGTCCAAATAATGTCAAGGACATTCGCACTGCCTACAGTTTGACCGTCAAACGACTTTGTTTACCATATGAATCAAATTGCATAAACTCTATTTAAAAAGCACCTGACATTGAATTACTGTTCACTGGAGTGTTCCTTCAGTTTGTAGAGCACTGCACATTTGCAAAGAGAGTCATTAGTCTATTCACATTTACCCGTTTTGTAAACTCGTTAAGATTCGTTGTGTTTGAGTGATCTCCAATGATGTACTTGCCTCCTACTTAGTACATTGGTCGCGGAGCGTAACCAGCGTGTAGCATTTGTAGGAATACATTGTGCGAATGCACAACACACACCCTCAATGGTTAACCGTGTGAAACGTTGTCAATCGCCTGATATGTACTTCACCTGATTGATCCGACGAACGGTTTACGTTACTGGTTACCATTCGCTTGAAATCTGTTCACCTGATCTGTTGTCACTGACCGGTTCGCGTCACATTCATCACGCAATTCATTGTACAAATATATGAGATGATGGGTTGTTGCTACCCGATAGAACATCATACTCGGGACTAACTCTTGACATCACATGCTGTTTCAAAACGCCTTTCCATCTATACCATTTTCATGTCGAGTTGTCCAAGTATCATCTAATGCTGTCTGGGAATCATGTCGAACTTTCCCCAGATTGTTTCAAGCCGTCCTGCCAGAATTTCAAGGCATCCCCGGATTATCTCAAACTGTTACATTGACCTCACCGGTGCTGAGATGCCTCCCAGAGCGTTCTGGATGACTACCACGCAACTCCGATTTAGCTACCTCCTGTTAAAGTGCGGAGGCCGGTTGTGGGATGGGCTTCGGTCAGTCACACCTCAATTCCCATGAAATACATATCGATCGTTTATCGTGCTAGTACGCGTACGCCTCTGTATGTGTATTGTGTGTTTGTCCCCCTCCGCTGATACCAGTGAA